ATGACGAAGCCATAAGGACGATAAAGGAACCACAAGCCAACGAGCAGAAAGTCATTAGGACACAAACACAAATTATTTATTTTTATTTTGTTTCTGGTTTTAGTTTGTTTCACGGTTAAAATTATTTATGTAGAATAGTTTTCGTCTTTACTGCGTTTTGTACTAGAATTATTACTCAAACCTTCCGGAAATATCATTCGCTATACTTTAATGATAAATATAATTTCCTTTATTTTATTGTTAATATTGATGTATGTATATATTATTAAGAAACAATTCTTTTTGGTAAAAACATTTATTATAAATTAAACGTATTCAAAAGTATCTATTTAGGTATATACCTATGCAAAATAAATTATATATCAAATACACAACAGACTCAGAGTATCTCACGTCATAATTGATTATCAACATTTAAGTTAAATTAAATAAATATACAAAAAAATATTTTAATTATTTTTTAATTATTTCAATTATTAATTTAATTAATTTGATTTGATTAATTTCTCAGTCAAAACTGGTGTCTATATATTGATATAACAATCCGATGCAAAACTGATTTTCTTTCGTGTCTTTGAAGCAAAATTTCACAAGTGTTTTTTCGGTTTTCCATCTGTCTTTCATTTCAATTCTGGGCACCCTTTCCACACTTTTGAATCTTTCCCATAGCTTTTAAACGGTCAGAAATTGTTTGTTGTGCAACATTTAACATTTCTGACATTTGCTTTTGACCCAAAGTGTCATCTCCATCCAATGACCGGTCATTGTAGATTGAATAATCACCTATCGAAGTTAGGAATTCAATCCAACTCAGACTGCAGATACTGCAGGGAAGAGAGAGAAATGGCATACCATGTGCTTGGGGAGTGCCCGGAACTGATGCATAAGCGAAAGAAACATCTAGGAGGGTATTTCATGGATCATAAGGATTCAAGACTGGGAAAGATAGGATCCATACTGTCTTTCATTAAAGAAATCGGACTTGGAGAAATACTCTAACCCGACAAAGGGGCACAATAGATCTTTCAGGTCGCAGTGACGATCCCTTACTCCAATAATAATAAGTTCAAACCTTGCAACGCAAAAAATTATATACAAATATTTATGTCGAAGATGGCTATTTGCAATACTTAAAACAACTGAAACAACTTAGCCATGGAACCATGAAATTATAAGAGTATTTTGGTGTCATTCGGGAGTCTACCCAAATCTGTTGAGGCTTTTTATGTTCATTTTTCAGTATAAACTTAGAAAGGTGACTAAGATGCAAAGATATAGCTACAATGAGTTGATGATTGAATGATTTCTAAAGCTATGAAGCTTTTATCCCAAAATGTTTACCAACATCCTAAAGAAATGTAATTTCAAATGTAAGAACACCGTTTCTATTCGGGGTTAGAAACGTTAGTTCAGTATTTACCAAACATAGGCACAAAACACTTTTTGCTTTTAATCCCTCCTGATGAGTTGTTGGCTTAGGAAAAAGTTTCTATTCTAATGTAATGTTTAGAACATTCAATGTATAGCTAACTTGCTCTGTACTTACAATATATGTGAATTGAATTATGTATTTTTCACTTTCAATACGACTGGAAGTTAAGACCTTTGCAGAACAAATTTCTTTCAAATCGCATCTGTAGCTCGTTTCTTTCTGTCACTTACTACGGTTGCCCAGACTGAGGCGATTCAAAATATAGTATTATATAGTTTCAAATTTTCTATCTGATTTGTCTCTAAACAATCAATATGAAATCAGGCAGATAGCACCTTAGTAAAAAGCTTATGTGTAGTGATGGTAGGAAAAGGAAGATATAATAAAAGATTGCCTAAAGAAGTATTAACAGCAATTTATGTACTAGCATGGAGAAGTTTCGTTTGTAATAAGGATGTCTGGAGCGTGATTCTATATTATGTTTTTATCTGGCAACAGGTTTATAAGAACCGACAAGCATGTTAATTAATTTACTCGGATATATGTGAAATTATCCATCGTATTGCACTGCGATTTAAAATAACATATTACTGTATTAATGATGTACGTATTCAATAAAAAAGTATATATTTGTCATAATAGTATATCAAATTTAGCAGTCAACTCAAAACGATATATCCATCTTCAAATATACAAAATTTTCCAATAATTTTAATAAAGTTTATAAAATTCAGTAGGTGTCGTATAATGATATCTTTTATGTGCATTTATTATTAAGCTTATAGAAACTTTTATTAAAATCTCTACTGAAATATTTAAAAATTTGGATAATCAATTATGCAAAAGAAAGAAGATACATAAATTTGCTTTACTCTTAAATAATTATAAAAAAAATTTTTCTACTATATTTCTCACGTTGTTGCAGTAAGAATGTAATGATGTTGCATTTAAAAGAATTTAAGTATTGGAAATTTATATTCATTAATCCAAGCATTGAATCACTGCTCTGAAGTGTTGTCGGAATACAGGAATTGCATGGACTTAGCATAATACGCTGTTGGCAATTTCTTATCAAGAAATCAACAAGACGAGAAAAACTGTGTAAAGCATGCTTTTGTCTATTCTTGATGAAAGAATCAACCGTGAAAAGTATCGAAAACCGCCTGCATTCCATACACTTCATTACACTCAATAGAAGAAGCAGCAATGGCAACGGCACTGCCAGCAGTAAAGAAGCTGTGATGAGTGCAGAAAACTAGAAAAAAGCAGGATTAAAAAAAGTTGAATATTATACTTGAGAGGATATTGGCAGCCATATTGGCGAATACGTCTCAATGAACATGAATATGCGATTTGTAGAAAAAAAATGAGAATTTCTTGAGGCAGCGGAAAAGGATGCTAAAGTTACAACAGGAAAATTATGTACGTTTTTTTCCTCATTTGTTCCAGTTTTTTTATGAAATTCTCTAAGGATAACAGCGATATATGCAGCACTGAATACGAATGTCATTTGGCTATGTATGTGTTACACATTTATATTCTAAGTTTGCATACACAGATACACAGGCACACACATAATTCGCATATTTCAATTTAAATGCAGGGTATCGAGTGGGGAATTATAATACTAGCTTAGGCCCATTTCCTTCACAAATTTCAGCTTTTATTCGGCATTTATGTGATATTTCGTTTCTACAATTTTCGCCTACGTAGTGGCTCAGTGGTATATAGAAAAAGAAAAACTTGAAAATGGCAAATAAAATGGGGACTAATAGACTAAATGGAAAAATCTGTTTCCTATGGCAATAACAATAGAGAGGTCAGAAGAAATAAATTGATAAAGACAATTAAAAACTGGCTCATATACATAGATAATTGGCAAGTATTAAAATAAAAATGGAAAGGAACGAGATTTTATGAGGATGCCGAGTCAGATACCGCAGCAGCGAAGTCGCATGTCCTAAATGATGCAAAGATTTCCGTGAAGGTAACTTTTTCGCATAGAGATGTGAATGACGCCAGTTCCCACTTCAATTGGGAAAGCGCGAA